ACCTCGCCTAGGAGGGCCCCTAGGGTCGCCGCCGACCCTATGAGGGTCCCTTGGGGGCGTAGTCGCACCAGGGAGGTCCCCTGAGGCCGTAGCCGCCACAGAGAGGGTCCGTGGGGGCACCGACACCCCTGGGAAAGCCCCTGGTGGCGCCATCGTCCCTGCTAGGCCCCGTGGGGGAATCACCGCCCCTGTAAGGGCTCCTGGGAACACCATCGTCCCTGCTAGGGCAACTGTGTATGCCACCCCCCTTGAGGTCACTGCCACCCTTAAGGAGGGCCCTTGGTAGGTCCACTAGGGGCACTGAAGCTCTTCTTAGGAACCCTGTGGGCATTGTTGCTCCTGGGAGGGCTCCTGGGGACACTGTCGCCCTTGGGAAATCCTCTTCGGCCAGCTGTTTTTTGCACTTTTTAGATCTCTGAGGGATATGACTTTAAATATGTACACTGCCCACCACATTTCCTGTATCGTCACATCCTGAACAACTAAAAGGAGACTAAATATTCAACAGGAAAACATAAGTTGGGGTGTTGTGCTGACTGACTGCTCTGATCTCCTATTGGCTGTAATTTGGTTTATTTACATTTTAGTCCACCAATCACAGTTAAGTAAGGGCTTGGTGTATGCATGCATTATGTATGATACCAAAATCAAGATCCTAGGGGCACTGTCACCTCTAGGAGATCCCCTTTGGCCAGCTGTTTTGCACTATTTAGAACTCTGAGAGATATGACGCTAAATAAGTACAATACCCAACACATTTCCAGTACCATCGCATCCTGAACAAAGAAAAGGAGACTAAATATCCAACAGGAAAACATAAGTTGGGGTGTTGTGCTGACTACCTGCTCTGCTCTCCTATTGGCTGTAATTTGGTGGAAGTACATTTTACTCCACCAATCACAGTTAAGTAAGGGATTGCTGGATGCATGCATTGTGTATGATACCAAAATCAAGATCCTGGGGGCACTGCCACCCCTGGGAGGGCCTGTGTTGGCGCTGCCAAACCTGGGAGGGCCCCTAGGAGTGCCGCCGCCCCTAGGAAAGCCCCTGGCGGCGCCATCGCCCCTGCTAGGCCCCGTGGGAGAATCACCGCCCCTGTAAGGGCTCCTGGGAACTCCATCGTCCCTGCTAGGTCAACTGTGTATGCCACCCCCCTTGGGGTCACTGCCACTCTTAAGGAGGGCCCTCAGTAGGCCCCCTGGGGGTGCTGACGCTCTTTTTAGGACCCCTGTGGGCACCGTTGCTCCTGGGAGGATTCCTGGGGGCACTGTCACCTCTAGGATATCCCCTTTGGCCAGTTGTTTTTGCACTATTTAGAACTCTGAGAGATATGACGTTAATTAAATAAGTACACACCGCCCATCACATTTCCAGTACCATCGCATCCTGAACAATGAAAATGAGACTAAATATCCAACAGGAAAACATAAGTTGGGGTGTTGTGCTGACTGACTGCTCTGTTCTTCTATTGGCTGTAATTTGGTTAATTTACATTTTAGTCCACCAATCACAGTTGAGTAAGGGCTTGGTGTATGCATGCATTATGTGATGCAAAATCAAGATCCTAGGGGCACTGTCACCTCCTAGGAGATCCCTTTGGCCAGCTGTTTTCATTAGAACTGTAGAGATGTGATACGTAAATAGGTACAACGCCCCATTTCCAGTACCATCGCATCCTGAACAATGAAAGGGGCTAAATATCAACAGGAAAACATAAGTTGGGGTGTTGTGCTTTGACTAGCTCTCTGCTCTCCCTGTGGCTGTAATTTGGTGGTTACATTTTACTCCACCAATCAGAGTTAAATAAAGGGATTGCTGGATGGCATGCATTATGTATGATACCAAATCCAAGATCCTGGGGCACTGCCTGGGAGGGCCCCTGGAGTACTGCCTTGGGAGGATTTAGACGCTGCCGCCATTGTGTGGGCCCCTAGAGACGCAAGTGCCCTGGGGTTCCCACCATCCTGGGAAGGTCATAAGGGGGCCACAGCACCCTGGCCCAGGGCACCATGGGGTGAGACCTCGCCTAGGAGGGCCCCTAGGGTCGCCGCCGACCCTATGAGGGTCCCTTGGGGGCGTAGTCGCACCAGGGAGGTCCCCTGAGGCCGTAGCCGCCACAGAGAGGGTCCGTGGGGGCACCGACACCCCTGGGAAAGCCCCTGGTGGCGCCATCGTCCCTGCTAGGCCCCGTGGGGGAATCACCGCCCCTGTAAGGGCTCCTGGGAACACCATCGTCCCTGCTAGCGCAACTGTGTATGCCACCCCCCTTGAGGTCACTGCCACCCTTAAGGAGGGCCCTTGGTAGGTCCCCTAGGGGCACTGAAGCTCTTCTTAGGAACCCTGTGGGCATTGTTGCTCCTGGGAGGGCTCCTGGGGACACTGTCGCCCTTGGGAAATCCTCTTCGGCCAGCTGTTTTTTGCACTTTTTAGATCTCTGAGAGATATGACTTTAAATAAGTGCAACGCCCATCACATTTCCAGTACCATCGCATCCTGAAAAATGAAAAGGAGACTAAATATCCAACAGGAAAACATAAGTTGGGATGTTGTGCTGACTGACTGCTCTGCTCTCCTATTGGCTGTAATTTGGTGAATTTACATTTTACTCCACCAATCAGAGTTAAGTAAGGGATTGCTGGACGCATGCATTATGTATGATACCAAAATCAAGATCCTAGGGGCACTGTCACCTCTAGGAGATCCCCTTTGGCCAGCTGTTTTGCACTATTTAGAACTGTGAGAGATGTGACGCTAAATAGGTACAACGCCCCACACATTTCCAGTACCATCGCATCCTGAACAAAGAAAAGGAGACTAAATATCCAACAGGAAAACATAAGTTGGGGTGTTGTGCTGACTGACTGCTCTGCTCTCCTATTGGCTGTAATTTGGTGGATTTACATTTTACTCCACCAATCAGAGTTAAGTAAGGGATTGCTGGACGCATGCATTATGTATGATACCAAAATCAAGATCCTGGGGGCACTGCCCTGGGAGGGCCCCTGGAGACGCTGCCTTACCTGGGAGGTCCCCAAGGAGCGCTGCCGCCATTGTGTGGGCCCCTAGAGACGCAAGTGCCCCTGGGGTTCCCACCATCCCTGGGAAGGTCACCGGGGGGCCACAGCACCTGGCAGGGCACCATGGGGCGAGACTTCGCCTAGGAGGGCCCCTAGGGTCGCCGCCGACCCTATGAGGGTCCCTTGGGGGCGTAGTCGCACCAGGGAGGTCCCCTGAGGCCGTAGCCGCCACAGAGAGGGTCCGTGGGGGCACCGACACCCCTGGGAAAGCCCCTGGTGGCGCCATCGTCCCTGCTAGGCCCCGTGGGGGAATCACCGCCCCTGTAAGGGCTCCTGGGAACACCATCGTCCCTGCTAGGGCAACTGTGTATGCCACCCCCCTTGAGGTCACTGCCACCCTTAAGGAGGGCCCTTGGTAGGTCCCCTAGGGGCACTGAAGCTCTTCTTAGGAACCCTGTGGGCATTGTTGCTCCTGGGAGGGCTCCTGGGGACACTGTCGCCCTTGGGAAATCCTCTTCGGCCAGCTGTTTTTTGCACTTTTTAGATCTCTGAGAGATATGACTTTAAATATGTACACTGCCCACCACATTTCCTGTATCGTCACATCCTGAACAACTAAAAGGAGACTAAATATTCAACAGGAAAACATAAGTTGGGGTGTTGTGCTGACTGACTGCTCTGATCTCCTATTGGCTGTAATTTGGTTTATTTACATTTTAGTCCACCAATCACAGTTAAGTAAGGGCTTGGTGTATGCATGCATTATGTATGATACCAAAATCAAGATCCTAGGGGCACTGTCACCTCTAGGAGATCCCCTTTGGCCAGCTGTTTTGCACTATTTAGAACTGTGAGAGATGTGACGCTAAATAGGTACAACGCCCCACACATTTCCAGTACCATCGCATCCTGAACAAAGAAAAGGAGACTAAATATCCAACAGGAAAACATAAGTTGGGGTGTTGTGCTGACTGACTGCTCTGCTCTCCTATTGGCTGTAATTTGGTGGATTTACATTTTACTCCACCAATCAGAGTTAAGTAAGGGATTGCTGGACGCATGCATTATGTATGATACCAAAATCAAGATCCTGGGGGCACTGCCCTGGGAGGGCCCCTGGAGACGCTGTCTTACCTGGGAGGTCCCCAAGGAGCGCTGCCGCCATTGTGTGGGCCCCTAGAGACGCAAGTGCCCCTGGGGTTCCCACCATCCCTGGGAAGGTCACCGGGGGGGCCACAGCACCTGGCAGGGCACCATGGGGCGAGACCTCGCCTAGGAGGGCCCCTAGGGTCGCCGCCGACCCTATGAGGGTCCCTTGGGGGCGTAGTCGCACCAGGGAGGTCCCCTGAGGCCGTAGCCGCCACAGAGAGGGTCCGTGGGGGCACCGACACCCCTGGGAAAGCCCCTGGTGGCGCCATCGTCCCTGCTAGGCCCCGTGGGGGAATCACCGCACCTGTAAGGGCTCCTGGGAACACCATCGTCCCTGCTAGGGCAACTGTGTATGCCACCCCCCTTGAGGTCACTGCCACCCTTAAGGAGGGCCCTTGGTAGGTCCCCTAGGGGCACTGAAGCTCTTCTTAGGAACCCTGTGGGCATTGTTGCTCCTGGGAGGGCTCCTGGGGACACTGTCGCCCTTGGGAAATCCTCTTCGGCCAGCTGTTTTTTGCACTTTTTAGATCTCTGAGAGATATGACTTTAAATATGTACACTGCCCACCACATTTCCTGTATCGTCACATCCTGAACAACTAAAAGGAGACTAAATATTCAACAGGAAAACATAAGTTGGGGTGTTGTGCTGACTGACTGCTCTGATCTCCTATTGGCTGTAATTTGGTTTATTTACATTTTAGTCCACCAATCACAGTTAAGTAAGGGCTTGGTGTATGCATGCATTATGTATGATACCAAAATCAAGATCCTAGGGGCACTGTCACCTCTAGGAGATCCCCTTTGGCCAGCTGTTTTGCACTATTTAGAACTGTGAGAGATGTGACGCTAAATAGGTACAACGCCCCACACATTTCCAGTACCATCGCATCCTGAACAATGAAAAGGAGACTAAATATCCAACAGGAAACCATAAGTTGGGGTGTTGTGCTGACTGACTGCTCTGCTCTCCTATTGGCTGTAATTTGGTGGATTTACATTTTACTCCACCAATCACAGTTAAGTAAGGGATTGCTGGACGCATGCATTATGTATGATACCAAAATCAAGATCCTGGGGGCACTGCCCTGGGAGGGCCCCTGGAAACGCTGCCTTACCTGGGAGGTCCCCAAGGAGCGCTGCCGCCATTGTGTGGGCCCCTAGAGACGCAAGTGCCCCTGGGGTTCCCACCATCCCTGGGAAGGTCACCGGGGGGCCACAGCACCTGGCAGGGCACCATGGGGCGAGACCTCGCCTAGGAGGGCCCCTAGGGTCGCCGCCGACCCTATGAGGGTCCCTTGGGGGCGTAGTCGCACCAGGGAGGTCCCCTGAGGCCGTAGCCGCCACAGAGAGGGTCCGTGGGGGCACCGACACCCCTGGGAAAGCCCCTGGTGGCGCCATCGTCCCTATACTAAGGCCCCGTGGGGAATCACCGCCCCTGTAAGGCTCTAGAACACCATCGTCCCTGCTAGAGACAGCCTGTGTATGCCACCCCCTTGAGGTCACTGCCACTCTTAAGGGCCTTGGTAGGTCCCCTAGGGGAACTGAAGCTCTTCTTAGGAACCCTGTGGGCCATTGTTGCTCTAGGGAGGGCTCCTGGGGACACTGTCGCCACTTGGAAATCCTCTTCGGCCAGCTGTTTTTGCACTTTTTAGAACTCTGAGAAATATTACATTAAATAAGTACAACGCCCATCACATTTTCAGTATCATCGCATTCTGAACAATGAAAAGTAGACTAAATATCCAACAGGAAAACATAAGTTGGGGTGTTGTGCTGACTGACTGCTCTGTTCTCCTATTGGCTGTAATTTGCTGGATATACATTTTACTCCACCAATCAAAGTTAAGTAAGGGCTTGCTGGATGCATGCATTATGTATGATACCAAAATCCAAGATCCCTAGGGGCACTGTCACCTCTAGGAGTCCCCTTTGGCCCAACTGTTTGCACTGGCCCAGAACTGTAGAATGTGACGCTAAAGCTAGGTACAACGCCCCACATTTCCAGTACCATCGCATCCCTGAACAATGAAGGGACTAAATATCCAACAGGAAAACATAAGTTGGGGTGTTGTGCTGACTGACTGGCCTGTTCTCCTATTGGCTGTAATTTGGTGGATTTACAGTTTACTCCACCAATCACAGTTAAGCAAGGTATTGCTGGATGCATGCATTATGTATGATACCAAAATCAAGATCCTGGGGCCACTGCCACCCCTGGGAGAGCCTCTGGAGACGCTGCCAAATCTGGGAGTGCCCCTGGGGTTGCCACGATCCCTGGGAAGGTCACTGGGGTCGCGACAGTCTTTGGCAGGGCCCCATGGGGCGGGACCTCGCCTGGGAAGGCCCCTAGTGTCGCCGCCGACCATATGAGGGTCCCTTGGGGCGTAGTCGCACCAGGGAGGTCCCCTGAGGCTGCCGCCGCCACAGAGAGGGTCGCTGGTGGCACCGACACCCAGGGGAAGGCCCCTGG